GCCCGGGAGCGCGAGCGAACGCCGAGCGCGCAGAGAAAGGAGCGGGCGGGGAGAGCGCGGGGAGGAGGGGACTCGGCGCCGCCGACGCCGCCGGGCGCGCACCGCCACCTGCTGGCCACCCGTGCCAGCGCAGGCCAACCCGGGCGCACCCCCACCCCGCGGGGGTCCCCAAGTCGGCCTCGCCCCTGGTACACCCTAACCCGGGGGCCTGAGTCCCCAAAATCCCTAGGGCGCACTTCCACCCGCGGGGTGCGGGTCCTCGACCTCCCAGGGAGCTCCCTCCTCCTGTAGGCAGTCTCTGACCTCCCACGGGTCCCCACGGGTTCAGGTTCATATCCCTGTGCGCCCCTCCCTGGATGACACAGCTCCCAGGGCCCTAGCTTCCCCTCCCGCAGCCCTCTGCTCTCTCTGCCCCTGCCTTGCTCGCCGGTGTGGAAAGGTCTGCTGCCTGGAACCGTGTGTAACTGGATGCTCAGAGCTCAGCCCCTGGCCCAGAGCACTTCGCACTCAGTGCATCTTAGAGGATATAGCCTCCTCAGTACCCATCCAGTGCCCACCACCCCCAGGAAGGGGCAGGGGCAGCTCCCACCCCCAGGGAAAGGGCCTGGGTCATCTGTGTCACTGCCAGGCTGTCTTCCACTCTCCCCCAGGGCCTCTCCTCTCAAATGGCAGCCCTCCAGGTGTCCCCCACCCCAGCCAGCCAGGTCTCTGAGAGACAGGATGCGAGAGGGAAGTGGAGATAGAAGCAAACAGAGAAGCTGAGTCAGAGTGAGAGAAAGCAAGACACAGATGCAGAGAGACAGACACGGAGAAGGGAGAACAATGGGGCAGAGAGAGGAGAGCCAGGAGGACGGTCAGGAAGAGGTGGAGAGTAAGACAGAGATGAGCCAGACCACAGAGTGGACTCTGGGGACGGCCGAGGCCTGACGACATTGCGTCTTACGGGCAGAGCCTTCCCTGGCACACAGCCCCCCACCTCAGAGATGAGACCAGCTGCCAGCCAGAGTCCAGGCTTCTCTGAACCCAGTGGAAGCCCCCCCACACACACACATACACACTAAGCTGGTCCAGCGTTGGCCCCAGGCCAGCAGGAGAAGGGAGGCCAGCAGATGTGGACCACATCTGGTGCCCAGGAAGCAGAAGGATGGACAGGGACCATTCAGGGCCAAGCGTGCTGAGGCAAAGAAGCCCACCTGGCCAGTGTAGACCCCAAGGCCGCAGCCGGCTGTGGAGTCCACGTACAGCCAGAGGCCTTCCCTACTGAGGCTTCGAAGGAGGCCTCCCAGCCCTGTCCACTGGGGTCCGCTATGTAGACGCCTCGCTGAGGACTAGTTTCACGAGGAGAAAGGGTGACCCCATGCTGGTCAGTGGCACCCTGGGAGCTCCTGACCATTGGGGTCTGGGCCAGCTCTGCACCCGGCCTGCGGGAGCCTCAGGGACTCAGCCATGTGCATGAGAGGACCTGAGACTCCACCCAAGGGCACTCAAGTCTGATGGTCAGCCCACAGCAGCTCCCCGGGGGAGGAGCGCTGGCCATCGGCTCCCATCAGGATGGCCATGAAGGCCCCGTGCAGTCAACCCTGCACCTGGCGGTGATCATGCCACCATCACTGCCCCACTCTAACAGGGTCCCTCCCCAGCAAGGAGTCTGCCCTGCTCTGCATGGACAGCTGTCCTGACAGACACCCTGACCTGATGGACACCCTGACCCTGGAGAACACCCTGACTGTCAAGGGGCCCCCACCTTACAGAGGGCACAGACCTGGACCCCTCTCATCCAAAGTCAGAGAGGGTGTGGTGCGCAGGTGTTCGGCCCCCTCGTGCTGCTGGACAGAGACAGAAGACAAAGGCAGAAACAAGCAACGTCCTCTCACCCATGAGGGGTTGTCCCCATGAGGAAGGCCAGGCCTGTAGGAAAATGACCCGACAGCGGTCAGTACCCAGGGAACAAAGCCATGATATGATGGAAAGTGACAGTCCTCCAGGAGGGGACATGGGGAGGAGAAGCAGAGGCTGGGGATGTGGGACAAAGGCCTCAGGGGGAACAGCGTCCCTGCTATCTGACCCAGGGCATCTTCAAATGCAGCCAGAGGACGGGGCGCTGCAGGACGAGGCTCTGGGCACGTTCACAGCCATCACCCAGCTGCAGCAGACAGGAAGTGACAGCCAGGGCCAGAGAGAAGGATGGTGACTGGGAGTGGGCTGGCAGTGGAGCGGGGAGCTGGCAGGGACCCCTACCCTCTTCAACACTTCCTGTCCACATGCAGGGCCCTGCAAGTCAGACAAGCTGCTGAAGTGGGCTCCTGGACAAGGTCCTCCCCTAGAGGGGACAGAGACAGCAGTAGGCCTAGGTTAGGGACCAGAGAGGTGGCATGGACACTGAAAGATGGGACAGGGGCTTCAGGTGAGCTCTGGGGAGCCCCCTTGCCTCCACTGGACCCTGGTCCTGATCCAGTAAAGCAGGGGTGCCGGGAGGTAGGGAGGGGTGAGGGTGCTTATTGTTCAGTGCGGCCACCTGCACCACCCCCGCATCACCCCAGGTCACCTCCCATCACCATGCATCACCCCCTATCACCCCCGTCAACCCATATCACCCCTGTGTCACCCCCATCACCCAACATCACCTCTGTGTCACCCCATCACCCCCGTCACCCCTGTCACCCCACATCATGCCGTGTGTCACCCCGTCACCCCATCACCCCATCACCCCGTGTCACCCCCATCACCCCACATCACCCCTATGTCACCACCATCACCCTGTGTTACCCCATCACCCCTATCACCCCACATCACCACTGTGTCACCATCATCACCCCACATCACCCCTGTGTCACCACCATCACCCCACATCAACCCGTGTCACCCCCGTCACCCCTGTCACCCCACATCATGCCATGTCACCCCCATCACCCCTGTCATTCCACATCAGTCCTGTGTCACCCCGTCATCCCACATCACCCCGTGTCACCCCACATCACCCCCATGTCACCACCATCACCCTACATCAACCCGTGTCACCACCATCACCCCACATCACCCCACGTCACAGGCGATCGCACACACTGTGCGGCTGTGGTGGTGGCCCTTCCTCGGGTCCTTCCTCACTTTCATCACCACTGACCCCTCGTTGACCAGGCAGGGCTCCTGATCTGGGACAGTGAGCGGGAGGGGGAGTGAGGCCAGGCCTTGGTCAGTGAGGCCACCTCGTCCTCGCGTCCTCGTGTCCTCACCATGGCACCTGCCAGCCCAAGACTGTGACCTGAGCCCCAGAGAAGCCGCTCACCTGCTTCCCGCTGACCTGCGCGTGTCTGCAAGGCTCCTGCAGGGGTTCACCTTTGTAAATCCGGAGATGACCAACCAGGGACCAGGCCGGAGCCCCTCAGCTGTCCTCCTGAGGCCATGGTGCGGGACAGAGGGCCTGGCGTGGGCCCAGGCCCCTGCTCTGCCTGCAGTGAAGGCAGGAGAGAGGGACACACAGGGCTGTCTGCTCACCACCACCCGACCTCTGACCTCTGAGCGTGAGACGTGGTGTTCCCAGCGGGAGGACCAAGCTGCCACCCCGTTATCAGCTTGTCAGGGGAAACTGCTAAGAGGAGCTGGGTTCCCACCTGGAGGAGCCGGCTCAGCGGTGGGATGTTAGCCTCTGAGTCCCAGCAGTGCACCTGCAGTGTCTCCACAGGTTTCAGCAGAACTTACAGACTAAGAGGACAAGGCAGAAAGGGCCGCACGGGACCTGGTTCGAGGCCAGGGGTCACCCAGGGAAAATGCTACAGAGGCCAGAACAGTCCGCCCTGAAGCTGGGGATGGCCCAGGACCAGACACAGGGCCATAGTGACATCAGGCCACTCACAATGTCACCATAAGGCTGCTTATCCCCAGAGCTCCACCTCTGAGGACTGGCCAGACTCTGTCCAGCTCAAGGCCAGCAAGAAGCAGCTAGGCCTAGGCAGGGCTGGGCCCCTGGCATTTCCACCACCGCCCGCACCTCATCTTAATCGGCCACAGGCAGACCGGCTGGTCCCCTTCAGCAGCCAAGTGCCCACTCTGTCTACACCTTTCCTGGTCAGCACAGAGACAGAGGACAAGCCAGAGGACCATTCAACTCAGGGGGCGTCCACTCCAGGAGGCACATGAGGAGTGGAGCCCCCTCATCTTCTGGGCCAGATTTGATTGGTCAGTCCAGCAGGGAGTAGGGAGGAGAGGCCTGGTCAGAGCCCTGGTCAACCATCCTGGGAATTTCTGAAGTCCTTGGCAGGAGAAGCCAGGGATGTCCTCACTGAGCCTGATCCACAGGTCCTGGGGAAGGGGGCAAAGGGTGAGGGATGTAACCTCAGAACCCAGCCTAGCCTCCTCCACCTCACGACACCAGTGGTCAGTGGACTCTGAGGGTAGAGTGGGACAAGTATTGGTCCTTTACCCAGCCCCATCCTCAGGACTTTGTGTGTGTAGTCATTACAAAGCATCTGAGGTCCAGGGAGGCTAAGGTACTGAGGCACTAGCAACACCCACCTATGATGGTTGGGAGGGTTGTAACACCCGCCTCCAATGGTTGTGTGGGTTCTGACACCCACCTACGATGGTTGGGAGGATTCTGATAATAACCACCTCAGATGGTTTGGTGAGTTCTAACACCCATCTCAGATGGTTGGGGAGAGTTGTAACACTTGCCTCTGGTGGTTGGGAGGTTTCTAACTCCCGCCTCTGATGGTTAGGAGGATTCTAACACTTTCTGATGGTTGGGAGGGTTGTAACACTTTCTGATGGTTAGGAGGGTTCTAACACCATTTCTGATGGTTGGGAGGGTTGTAACACCGTTTCTGGTAGTTGGGAGGTTTCTAACTCCCGCCTCTGATGGTTAGGAGGGTTCTAACACTGTTTCTGATGGTTGGGAGGGTTCTAACACTGTTTCTGATGGTTGGGAGGGTTCTAACACTTTCTGATGGTTAGGAGGATTCTAACACCGTTTCTGATGGTTGGGAGGGTTGTAACACTGTTTCTGATGGTTGGGAGGGTTGTAACACTGTTTCTGATGGTTGGGAGGGTTGTAACACCCACTCCCCGTGGTTGGGAGGCTTCTGTCACCACCTCAGAGGTGGTTGAGAGGCTCTCCTGGCTCCGGCCTCATCCGAGGGTTGTGAGAACAGAGAGTGCCCCTCTGGAGGCCGCTGTAAGGATGCTAGGTGTAATCATCAGTCACTTCACAGGACGACTGTGGGGAACAGAACCCTTCTCTGAGGTTGTTGTGAGAGTGCCCCCGCAGAGTTGGCTGTGCTGTATTTGGCGGTGCCCAGCCTCAGTCCCTCTCTGAAGGCTGAGGTGCCTGTGAGTCCATGA